AGTAAGACAGAATAGTCTTTTTAAATATAATAATTCAAAATCGACATCGCCAGACATCAACATGATCCTACCACACTTACCATGAATACCAAAGATTTTAAAAATTCATCCTCTATTTTGTTTCTTCAGGTTTTATTGGTTCTTATCCAAAAACAAATGCTTTTACTTCCAGTGACAAGACAACTCCTATGCCATATGTATAATTTCTCTACAAATAGGGCTGTTCTTTGAAATTCTGAATCACTTTAGTTAAGGAGGAATAACTGTATTTTCTTCCATAAATAAATTACTCACTACTGCTGAAACTAATTTAAATGAATTTACAAAGTCATAAGATGGAATTTTTTTGTTCTTTTGAATCAGAGTATAAAGAACAAAGAAAAAAGATCTGAAGAGACTGCTGGCTCATTGTAGCATGCAGGTCTTTTAAAGACCATTCATATCTTAACAGAAAGGAATAAGAAACGGTGGAAATATCCTGTTACACTGTGTATTTATGTGAAGTCTGTTGGGAATTAGGCAGACTTTGGAAACTAACTGACAAATTTAAATACCACAAAACTGGAGAGGCATTTAGATATAAGTAGATTAAATAATGAGAGTCAATAATAGTCTTAATATTTCTAACACTGCCAACTGCAATGATTCCACTCAGGAGTCAATTTAGTCTAATTATTTCTTGTCAGACTTTTTTTTTAAAACAGCAGTGGGAGAAAGAAAATCTTTCACAGCCTAAATTCAGGGTACAGAGGGTTTAGTCACTACCTCTATAGCTCAGAAAATGATTTCCATGGTATTAAATTTCCATTCACATGGAGTCTCTGTGACTCCATGAGGGTACAACAAAGGTGTCATAAACAATTAGCTAATCAACATTTGAAAGACAAGGAAGTGAGTGTAGGCTGAGATTAAAATGATACTGCCAGCACCTCAAAAACTACTGACATTTTGTCTTCCAGTTCCTTTCTCCACATTCCCTGCTTCAAAGAGGAAGAAGACATGGTTTCAGTCCAAAGTCAGCCACATAGTTAGCTGAATGAGCTCTGAGAAATCACTTCACCTTTTTGTGTTTCCATTCCATCTATAGAATTGGTTTAATGATAACTGTCTTACCACACAAGGTTGTTCTGAGAACTAGATTATGTACATGAAAACACTGTATAAAATGAAAAAAACTGTGTAAGCTATAAAGCACTGAATATATAGTGATTAATACACATCAAATTATCTTCTTTCCATTATTTTCTCTTGCTTCTCCTGATCTCAGTATGGAGCTAGTTCTTCATTAAAAAATTAAAACAGGTGAATTGAATGTGGTATATTTAAGAAAAGTTGCCATAAATGCTTTAATTTCTGTAATTATTTATCCTCAACAACAACAAAAAATACTTTCTTAATTTCCTACTTCAGAGATAGTCCTCTTACCAACTATGATAATCTTGTTACCATCCTACTTAAATGATTATTCTGGTAGTTCATTGATCCAATTAAGCTTCACTATCTATCCCAGGTAAGTTTTAGTGCTTAAATAATTAAACCTTTAACTACCTTTGATGGAAATTTTGAATGGATAAAGAAACAGGAGTCACCTTTATGTACAAGTATTGTATTATGAAGTAATGTACTATGCAGCAATGTTTACTGGCATTATGAAGTGTATGTGACAACTTGCTTTTTTACTAAATGCCCTGCCCACTAAAACTGCAAAACTGTCTTATATCTTTAGTATAAAATAGTGCCTTCAACAGATATTAAATAACATAGTTACTAATAATGATAATATTAATAATAAAGCTAATAACATTATCAGGCAATATTTTCCAGGTGAGTTCTGTGCAATTTACTGTATTAATTTAATCCCAACTCAATCCCTTTGAGGTAGGAACCATCATTATTCTCACTTTATAGATGAAATAACAGGCACAGATAGGTTAAGTATCTTATCCATTGTCACAAAGCTAGGAAACAGCAGAGCTAGGATTTATACCAGGGTAGCTATGCCCTACAGTCCATACTTTTAAACACTATGGAAATTACATAACCCAGAAAGTGAAACAATGGTAGAAATGTAGAGTGTCTATTTCAGAACCTCAACATGACACCCAAGTTTGGGATTCATGGGCACAAGGACCTCCAGCCTCAAAGACTGTGAAAACCCCATGCTTCTTAGAATATACAGGTTATAGAAAATCCTGGAAATAGGTATCTGAAGCCAAAGGGCAGAATGGGAACTGAGTCAAGATGGGATGACCCTGAAATGAATATGTGGTTTTAGGGAAGGAGGAGGATTCAAAGATGCCTCTGAGGTTTATGGTTTGGGAAAGGGATCATGATGCTCTAGGCAGGGTTGGATTCTCATTGTTTTAGATTAAGGAGGACCAGGTTAAATACCACATATGTCTTTCTGGTAGAAGACATTTCAGAGAGAAGGGAAACCTGGCATTTGGGGAATAGAGTGATACAGACTAAGAGGTAACCAGGAAGACAGTGCTAGGGACTCTGATAATGTGGCAACTTAAGCACAGAAGATTTGAGGAAAAAGAAGATCTGAATGCTTTCTCTTAACTGTTATGTCATGTCCACATCTGACCTCTATTACCTGTAAGACCAGCCAAGGCCAATTTTAGAGGGTGAGTCTTACTATTGTAAAGTGCTATGTATCTCAATTTCTGATGGAAAACCAGCTACTCTAGTTAGGGGCATTTTCGAATAATAATGTGGAAAACAAGCTGAGTGTAGAACAAAGATGAAATACTGGAATTCAACCCATAATAGTTCTAAAGAACTCTTCCACTGCCCTGTAGTAATGAGGGTGCCTCTACTCCTATGGTGTCAGTGGAAACCATGTGAGGAGGAGTAATGAGGAACCCCTACTTCTCCTAGCCAGGGGGGTATCATTCTAGTGAGGATCTAGAACTCCTATCCCTGCACAGCAATAATAAGGAGCACTCCCCTTCCAGATGTCAACAGAGGCCAAATGGGAACCTGGACTTCTACCCCCCTGGTACTAATGAGGCAGTACCTCAAAATCTGTGCCTGAGAAGTGTGAGAGGGAACAAGCTAAAAAAGAAGGTTCAAATAAGATCTAGAGACTCACAATACTGAAAATGTTCAGGTTTCAACTGAAAATCATTCACCATACCAAAAACCAGGAAGATCTCAAAACAAATTCAAAATGAGAATCAAGAGACACTAACACCGAAATGACAGAAGGGGAAGGGTCAAGTCAAGGAACATGTGTAAAGGGCCCATGGACAAGGACAATGTGGTGGGGATTATCTTTGGCATCGAGGATGGGATGGGGCAGGGGAGAGCAATGGGGAAAAATGGGGACAATTGTAACTGAACAACAATAAAAAATATTCAGTAAAAGAGAAGGGCAAAGGATGAAAAATTGGAACAACTGTAATGGAATAACAAAAATGATTAAAAATATCCAGTAAAGGTTTAAAGGACCCACCATAACCAAAAAAACAAAATTTCAACAACCAATTATAGACACAATTGAAACAAATGAAAAAAATTAAAAGCCTCAGCAAAGAAATAGAAAGTGAGAAGTAGAAGATATAAAGAACCAAATGGAAATCTTAGAACTAAAAAATACAATAACCAAAATAAAAAGCACAATGGGTGGGTTCAAAAGCAGAATGGAGGGTACAGGGGAAATAGAAACTAGAAGATAGAATAGAAATCACCCAACACGAATAACAGAAAATATACCTCCCCCCAAAAATGACCAGATATATGATTTGCAAAATTTCCCCATTCCATTGGTTGCTTTGTCACTTTGTGGGTTGTATCATTTGATGTACAAAATGTTTTAAGTTTGTTGTAGTCCCATGTGTTTATTTTTGTTTCTGTTGTCTGTCCTTTTGGTGTCATGTCTATTTTTATTTCTTACAACTGCATGTAAATCTAGTTTTCTCACACTAAAAAGTGCACTTAAAATAGAAAGATAATACTATTTACAGTTTAAGTAAAAAGTATCTAGTCTAATCCTTCACTGTATAATTTTGAAAACTGAGATCATAAAGGTAGCTTGTTTTGTCAGAACACAATTTTATTTTCCTACTAGAAATCTTGATCAAATTCAGGATCAAAGCGTAATACCAAAACATGGAATTGGGATGAGCAAAAAAGAAGTAAACTGAAAATTATTGTATTGAATTAAAAAGCAAAACACATAAATAAAAAAAGAAAAAGTAAAAGGGGTAAGTAAATCCACAAAATACAGGGAGTTTTTGTTGGTAGTCTTATTAATCAGAGACATAGCCTATATTGTATATCAGTGACAATCACCTTTTAGAGAATACTTTTAGATTAGACTAAGAAATAAAGATACAGAACAACCACACTAATATATTTATGATGACCCATTCTTAACCTTAACTTGCAACATTTCAATCAATATAACCCCAAAATATGCAATTAAAAATTATGCAACTTGCAACTTTTAAAAGAATTGCTTTTTGGTACATTTAATACATATAGTACTTATAGCACTAAAAAATCTTATACTTTTTAAAATAGTTTTTATTTTTCAATAAACTCAAGATGGATAAAAGTCTTGAATATAAGTCAAGACACCATAAAAGTCCCAGAAGAGAACATAGGCAGGAAAATTTCAGATATTCCATGCAGAAATATGTTCACCGATATGTCCCCTAGAGCAAGGGACATAAAAGGAGAATAAACAAATGGGGCCTCATCAAAATAAAAAGTTTCTGTATGGCAAAAGAAAACATCAGCAAAATGAAATGGGAACCAACTGCATGGGAAAATATATTTGCCAATGATACCTCGGACAGGGGTTTAACCTCCAAAGTATATAAAGAACTCACACAGACTCCATTCCAGGAAGACAAACAGTCCAATTTAAAAATGGGCAAAGGACCTGAACAGACACTTCTCCAAAGAGGACATACAGGGGGCCCAGAGACATATGAAAGGATACTCATCATCACTAGCCATCAGAGAAATGCAAATTAAAACCACAATGAAAGCACTGCCTTTGAACCTGATATGCCTTGTTTGTAGCTTCACGAGCCAAGCGACAGTGCTAGAGCATAAGGACTTGTTATAACTGGAGCTCTTCAGCTCTCAACTGAACTGCTCTTTTAAAAACAAGGTACATTTAAGTTTAAAAAAATAAAAAATAAAACCCCAATGAGTTGCCACTTCACACGGGTCAGAATGGCCATCGTAAATAAATCAACAAATAACAAGTGCTAGGGAGGTTGTGGAGAAAGGAAACCCTAGTACACTGTTAGTGGGAATGCAGACTGGTGCATTCACTGTGGAAAACAGTATGGAATTTCCTCAAAAAACTAAAGATGGAACTGCCTTTTGACCTGGCAATTCCATTGCTGGGATTGTACCCCAAGAATCCTGAAACACCAATTCAAAAGAACCTATGCACCAAAATGTTCATAGCAGCACAACTTACAATAGCCAAGTGCTGGAAACAGCCTAAGTGCCCATCAGTAAATGAGTGGATCAAAAAACTATGGTACAGTTACAAAATGGAATACTACACAGCAGAAAGAAACAAGGAAATCCTACCCTTCTTGACAGCATGGATGGACCTGGAGAGCATTATGCTAAATGAAATAAGCCAGACAGTGAAAGACAAATATCATATGACCTCACCTATAAGTGGAATGTAATCAACAAAACAAACAAGCGAGCAAAATAGAAACAGAGACACGTAAATAAAAAAACAAACAAACAGCAACCAGAGGGAAGGGGAGAGCAGGGTAACGGGAAAAAAGGGGAAGCATCATCAAGAAGCATGTATAAAGGACCTATGGACAAAGATGCCGGGCAGGGGAGGATTGAATGTGGGAGGCAGGGGTGGGTAGGGTGGGGGAGAGTAATGAGGGGAAAATGGGGACAACTGTAGTTGAACAACAATAAAAATAAAATAATTTTTATTTTTCAATTACAGGTGACATACCATATTATATTAGTTTCAGGTGTACAACATAGTAACTAGACATTTCTATAACTTACAAAGTGATCACCACAGTAAGCCTAATACCCATCTGGCACCGTACATAGCTATTGCAATATTATTGAGTATATTCCCTGTGCTGTGCTCTACTTCCTTTTGACAATTAAGCTGTGCAATTTGCACAACTTAATCCTTTCTCCTTTTTCACCAAACCCCCTAAATCCCTCAAAATCATCAAAAAGTTCTCTATATCTATGAATTTTTCTCTGTTTTGCTCATTTATTGTTTTTAGATTCCACATATACATGAAATCATATGGTATTTGTCTATCTCTGACTTATTTCACTTATAACGAAAATATTATGCTTTTAATAACTATATTAAAACTCAGTGAAGGTTTGGTCCTTTTTGCAAAAATTAAGAAATGCCACCAAATAAAAATGTTCAACTTTTACAACTAGAAGGATACTATACGGTATTATATTACTCTAAACAGATGTGGCTCCTTAAATGAGAAAAAAATCTCTGCACAGGTTTTTGGTGATATCTGAATAACACCTTCTGGAGTTGTTCCTTTTAGAATATTGCCATGGAAACCACAGCTTCTACAACTACAATTATTGTAGTTTACTCTTGTACCTAAAACAGATGCCTCAAGAGCATTGAATATTCTTTTGTGGAGGAATTAGTATGAGCCAACACTGCCACATAAGTCCTATTTTCTGAAGAAAACCATCAGACTTTTGGAGCATTAATCCAAATCTATGGTGCCCAAACTAGCCTATGAAAAAGGCACTTAAAACTGGGGGTTGGGGTGGTGAGGGTGACAGCACTGGACCCTGCAAACTAAAGAACAACCTAAGAATCACACACCAGGGTTGTCTCTTCTATTTGATGTCAAAACAACAAAAAGAAAACAAAACAGAAAACAGTGTGCACATTCTATCATTCCAAATCAGTTTTTAGATTTCAGGTTTTATATATCCAGATATTAATTATTCTTTGACTATATGTAAAGTGCTTAGCCTATTATGAATTTTTTGTTTTGTTGTATTTTAAAGATAAGTAAATAGGACATACTTTACTTACCTAAAAGAGGGAGTAAAACTGGGTAGTTGTAAGGCATCACAAAGAGGTTTACACAAGTTAAAGTTGTACTAGCTTTTAAATATCCAAATGGATATCCAAGTTCATTGTATTTTCCACTGCTAGTAACAAATACCTGAGAATAACATGACATAATATATAGTTATGACAATAAGGATTTTATGTAAAACCAAACTCATAGCAACGTTCCATAGCCACATCTATGGGACAACTTAATTGCAATTTTAAAATGGGAATAGTGCTTTTAGCCTATGGCTATGTCAAATATGTCATACTAAATAAGAATGTTCAGATTGCAATTCTTTTATAACTTATATTAAGAAATGAAACTGTACTATGGAATAACCACTCAGTCTGTAGTCTATATCACCAATACCCAAATATTTACTTGGTTAACACATGGAAAATAAGGCTGAAATATCATTAAGTGATACCGGCCATTAAAACAAGTTGACTTTTCAAAGGAAGAAATGGTGACCAGAGTAAAGACTTTTAGGAAAATGGAACGTGACCCCATGCCTAAAGCAGGCAATTAGAAAAAACAGAGCCCGTTTAAAGGATTATGCTAACACTCCTCATGTGCACTACTATTAAATCTTGCTCTACTTCCCTTTGATGCCCCATTCCCCTACCCACTATTAATTTTTCATCCAATAAGTATTTACTGAAAAGCCAGGAACGGGTGCTAATTATTTTGAGGCAGCAAGGAGATGCTTTGGTTCATTCTGGAAGCCATTAATCTTGTAAACTACGCTGGTAGAGCAAACATCCAATAACGATTAAAACATTAATCTTTATTCTATATGACTATCATCTTATTACTTATTGATATTCTTGATTTGATATATATTATATTGTCAGGTCCTATATACTTGATATGCTGTGCTGGAGTCCTCTACCTACCATGTTTTCTCTGTTTCATGAGTACTCCAACAGTATCATTTAAGACAAAAGCCAAACCCTGATAGTGAACAGGATACATTTACCTTATTAATTCTTGGTACCAGCACTATCACCTACCAGTTCACTAAATCCTTGCTATATTTAGTTATAGCTAAGAATAAATCCTTCCTATGTAATTTACGACTCCAGAAAACAATGAGTTGTGCTAAAACATGACTCATCTACTAGATTTAATGTCTTAATTTGAAGCTTAATAGAAACAGAAAACAATGATAAAACATGCTGTATTTCCCCCTATTTCCTAACTCTGTATGATAGAAGAGGGGGGAAATAATCATATAGGATAAAAATGTGGCACATAGCCATCAATGGTTAGATCTGTGATTCCCATGAAAGGAAAAGCACTGCTTTTGTTCCTTTTTCACTTTCTTTCCCTTTCTTCCCTCCCTCCCTTCCTACCTTCCTTATTTCCCATAAGCCTCTTGAGCCCCTTGAGTTTTTCCAAATTCCTTATCACCTGCAGATTCACAGCATTTTGGGGTTCAAAGTGATCATTAGAGACCATCCAGACTAGAAAAAATAAGTGTCTGGTTCAAGACCAAATAATTGGTGGCAGAGCTATGATTAAAACCCAGTCTCTATTATGATTTTTGCCAAGTTTCCTGGCTCCTGGTTCATCTTATTCTTTTTCACACTCACTAATTAATCATATTAAAAGTATTCTAAATCATAGTAACATAAGGTACAGGAGAAAGGCATATGGCATATTTGAGGGGTGGGGCAAGGAGCGAGGGCAGGATTTAAGTTTCTTTGGAGAACATTCACAAGCAATGTGCTACATAGAAAAGAGGGTTTATTTTAGGGAAAAGGTAAAATTTATAATTTTATTTGCTTTTTTTGCAAATCTTTTTCAACCCATAAATTCAAACGTCCTATGTTGAATTTAAAAAGTTAGCATTCTATCACCCATATCTCTATATTTCTAGAACATTTTGGGTATATTTTATTAAAATATAAACATACATCCAAAATAGTGCATGAATTATAGGTATATATTGTAGCTCATTGAATGTTCACAAAGTGAATTCACGTGTGTAATCAGCGCCCAGATCAAGAAATAGAACACGACTAGAAGCCCCCTCACATCCTTTTCTGGTCACTACTCTGCACCCTTGAGAGAAACCACTATCCTGACTTCTAATGGAGTAAATGAGTTTGACCTCCTTTTGAACATATATGAAGCAAAATCATATAGTATGTGATCTTTCATGTCTGCCTTCTTTTGTTCAATATTATATTTATGAGATTATTCTGTTTCTTGCACTTTTACATCCTTGCTTTAAGCCTGTTCCCTTTTTTCTATCCAGTTTTAGCGTCTTTGGAGGATTTAAGTAGCTTCAAGACAACTAGTAGAAATAGCATGAAACTTATTTTAGTATGAAACAGATGGCAGTCTGAAAGTGTTCCTTGTGTAAACAGAGCCTAACAATTACTGATTACTATATGATGATATAGTTTAGAAATAGAACAAACATCTTTACAGTGTAGGACTTCCTTATCACATTCAAATAAAAAGGCTGTGACTGCCATGCCTGGATTTTTACAAATTAAAATCCAAAGGCGAATCTAGTAAAAAGTCAGCAAGCCCTTCTGGCTGAAGAATCACACTTGGAAGAGCCAGTGGATGTGCATTTGCTTTGTCTAAGTAAAATCCACACTACACACACCAATATGCTTGGTACCACAAAGAGAGTTCGACTACATTACACTAATACAGAAAGTAGTCTCGGAGCTTATGGATTTTGTCAAAAATATCTTGTACTTCCAGTCTATCAAATTCACACTAAGGGCTGAGAACCTTGCTTCAGCTGCAGAAGCCACAGCTAAATAGAATTATATCCTTTAGGTTAGGGATTATTAACCTGGGATCCCTGAATAGGTTTCGGGGGATACTCTAAATCCTCAAATACATATATTTCATCAGATTTGACTGCCTTAAATGGCAATGTACAGTAGGCTAATGACTCATATCAGTGTGAAATTATTTGCTTGGCCCTGTTGTCCATTATAACATTATTGAGAAACATTATTAATAGACTCAACTCAGTTATTTCTAGATAAACCTTTGAAACTTGTTTAAACAATTCCCACATCCAAGAGTGGTTATAGATAC